GAGAGAGAGAGAGAGAGAGAGAGAGAGGGAGAGAGAGGGGGAGGGATAGAGACGGACAGACATATCTCTCATATATCTGGACGCCTTCATCTTTTTATAGTCATGGACAGCTCGGGCAAGTGCGGGCATTCATCTACACACTGGAACAAGGGAACGTGGTGATTTGCGCAATCTCAACCTCCCCCCGGTGTTACCCATCGGGGTTGGGTTTTCGTCGCTTGGCAACGACGTTGTAAAACAAGCCGCCCCCCCCGGTGTTTGCCATCGGGGTTGGGTTTCCGTCGCTTGGCAACGACGTTGTAAAACAAGTCCCCCCCTCGGTGTTTGCCATCGGGGTTGGGTTCCCGTCGCGTGGCAACGACGTTGTAAAACAAGCCAATTCACTTCGTGAACTCGGCAACCAGATTACCGGTTTTTTTTGGTTACCTCTGTTTTTTTTTTGGCCGTAACCATAATGGTGGTCGAGTAGATCATGTTGTGCGGGGTGGAGAACCCTCACTCCGCGCAAGGGGGATGATCGCACCACGTTGTGTTAAAATGGTCAAGCACCCTCGAGGCAGTTACACAGTGCTTACAACTGTCTCTGGAAGTGAAAGCACCAGAAAATAAATTAATTCATACGCAGCTGTCATCCGTACGCAAGGAAGTAAGCACAAGATGCCGAACACCCTTAGCAGGATGCAGCGCACCCTTCATGCGACTCGCCGAATATCTCACGGCGCTTCGCGCTTGGTGATGTGAGAGCCTGGTCCGGTGAGAACCCGGCGTGCTCCGTCCCGGCTTTGTAGGGATGCGAGGTCAATGGTCTAACGACTATGGCATGCACGACTATGAGTACACCCCCCCCCTCCCCCTCCCCGCGCGCTCGCCAAGCACCCCCGGGGCTCCGCTGCTCCTACACGATTAACAGCCTGTCTCCATGTTGTCCCTGTTTTGCGTGAATGTTCGCACCGCAGCTCGGGCCGGCCCTGTGCGACTTCATGGACGTGGCGACGATGATGGGCACCGAGTGCATCGTTGAGGTGCACACCCCGGCGGTGAGTTAGATAGCCCAGCCCGCCTTCGAGCCCTCCCAAATAGTGAACGGAAACGACTGCTGTTGCCCGGGAACTACTGTCGTGTCCCGGTAGGTTGAATCCTTGGGCTGCTTTGTTGAGCACGGCCCCAGACCTTTTTTTCACACACCGTGTGGTTGGCTGGCGGTGTGTGGCGCTCAATGTTTGGTCAGGCTTATGTGAAACATGGCCCGGAGCATCTGCCATGCCCCATCGCGGGGTGCATGAAGTGGGGTTCAAAGCAACCACGCCAATTTTCCAACATGCGCTACTGTAAGCATAGTAGCTATGAAGCTTGCCAGGGACAGTCATTTTGTTGGTTTCACTTGCCAAATTTATAAGCAATGTGGATGGACCTCACAGGGAGGCATCACACATGCGTGCTTATTAATTCTCCTTCGTAGATACACATCTCGTGAAAATCTCAATTGCTTGGCTGCCGACTGCTTGCGACTTAGGCATGCGCGTGTACTGGCAGTGGCGTGGCCTCGTGCGAACAGTCGCGACCGCCAACGTGTGCACCTCTTTTTCGTTTTTCCTGCGCAGGCCGAACTTGATTATTTGTAGTAGTTTCTCTCATGTCGATTCTGTCATTCTTGTTGTCGTCGTCGTCGTCGTTGTTATCGTTGATGTTGTGATTATTGTTTTTGCCTCTAGTTACTACTGACAGTTCATGTTTCGTCAAGTGCGCCAGATCGAGCGCAAACCCTTGCGTGTGCTGTAGTCATCCTCCCACCTCGGTGTTTGCCATCGGGGTGGGGTTTTCGCCGCTTGGCAACGAAGTTGTAAAACAAGCCTCCCCTCGGTGTTTTCCATCGGGATTGGGTTTTCATCGCTTGGCAACGACGTTGTAAAACAAGCCAATTCACTTCGTGAACACGGCAACTAGGTTCCCGTTTTTTTTTTTCCTCTGTCTCTGGGAGTGAAAGCACCAGAGAATAAACTAAGTCATACGCAGCTGTCATCCGTACGCCAGGAAATAAGCACAATATGCCGAGCAGCCTTAGCAGGATGCAGCGCACCCTTCATGCGACTCGCCGAATATCTCACGGCGCTTCGCGCTTGGTGATGTGAGAGCCTGGTCCGGTGAGAACCCGGCGTGCTCCGTCCCGGCTTTGTAGGGATGCGAGGTCAATGGTCTAACGACTATGGCATGCACGACTATGAGTAAACCCCCCCCCTCCCTCGATTTTCACTGCGGAGGTCGGTCGTGGAATGATTTCCCTTCCAAAGGAGCCAAGGGTGCGCAGTAGACTCGAGTGTGAGAGCAACGTGTCGTGGTTTCACGCACGCGCGTAGTTGTGTCTCTTCTATTTCCCGTGAGGTAAACTTCGCTTTCATCATCCACGGGAACGGTCGGCCGTCGCACGCCCTTTCCTTGTCGTCGTCGACTCTTTGTTGTGCTCCTATCTACACGGCGGCTTGGGGTGTGCGTGTGTGTGAATGCTGACGTTCTTCGTCACCGGCTTGGTGTTGTCGTCTGCTGTCGGGCGTGTGTGTGCGCAGGAGGTGGAAAAGGCCCTCGAGCACGGCGCGAGCGTCATCATGGTGAACAACTGGGACCGTATCACGGGCAAGCTCTACCCCAAGCAGGCGATGGCCGTCCGCCACTTGATACCGGACCAGGCGAGAATTTGCGCATCACACGTTACGTGTAGCCAGGGTTGTTGTGCTGCTGCCGTGGCGCGGGCCAAGAGCTGTCACCGTACCAATGAGCGGGGACTACCAGCGCTGGCCCCGCTCATCTTCGCTACAACAGTTGCCATTCCAAGGAGAGATTGCTTTTCGGGGGTTTCCAAGGGTCGGTTTAGTCCAGTATGTACTAAACGTACTGTCCCAGTATTTAGACCAAGTACGGGCCCTACTGTACTGTACTGGGGGTTTAGTATGGGTCTCCATACTATACTAAGACCAACAATACGTTTAGTACAAGCTCTCATACTGTACTAAACCAATACTACGCCATAGTACAGCCGTCCATACTGTAGAATACTATACTGGGGGCTTAGTATGGCATTTTGGCCGGTACTGTACTAGCCTTAGTACAGTACTCAGCTCTTCCATACTGTACTGTTAGGGGTGTCAAAGCGGAAAATTTCCGATAGGAAAAAATTCGAAAAAGCGTCCTCGGATCTTGCTGATGGAAAATCGACCAACCAATGAAATTGCACGAAACCGTCGGAACCTCCCGAAAAGACCCTCTGACGCACACGCGCGAGGGCGCGGCTCGCCTGTGTGCTTTGCGCCCTGCTATGTGGCACAGCACAACACCATTGCGCGGTCCCACTCTAGAACACATGCCTCATGACACACCCGAGCAGCAGCCGGGCGGTGAAGCCACGCAGACACCTGCCGCCGCCGCTGCTGCTGCTGAAAAAAACAGCAGCAGTAGCAGCAGCGGCGGCGGCGGCGGCAGCGAGGTTGAGCCTGGCTCTTTTCCACAATTTTCTTATTTTTGACCAACTCCTCCTTCGTTTCCTCCAGCGTTCTCTCTACGACGGTGAGGCTGCCGCGTTCGATAGCGCGCCGCGTGTTATCTTCTGCTGACGTGGCAACCATACACTGCCCCGTCCTCTCTTCAAACTTCGTTTTGTGTTGATTCAGCTTTCGCGCAGCGCGCCTCCTGCTGCCGAACGGCGCGGACCTCGATTTTTTTTTTGGGAGGGTCTGCTGGTGTGGGCACTGCAGCCCCCCTGGAGGGGCCGTTTTCAGACAAGTAGATCTCGTGGTTGGCTGATGCGATTCGGATGCGGTTTGTTTTGTGGTATAGCTGTAAACCCAAGGTAGAGGGCTGTAAGCTCGCTTTGTCGAGAGGAGCAACGGTTGCCTTGGGCGTGGAGGAAAGAGCCCAAAAAAACATGTTTTTTGGTGTTGTTCGTCCGCCGTTTAACTTGAAGAGAAAACCGAGCTTACAGTTACCTCTATTGGACCTGTGTCCAGGCGTTTGTAACGCATGAAGAGCCATGCTGCTGTCTGGATGCAGAGCTGCCTGTACAAACAAATTGACTTGATGTACAGTTTATTCAGTATTAACAGCGGGATTCTCAAGAACCAAAAAACGAACCAAATCCGCGTGCCCCCCTCAAATTTTGCCGAATGGACCGGACGTTTTTTTGACCCCAAATTCCGCCGCTTTAACACCCCTAACTGTACTATGGTTTTAGTACAGGTCTCCATATTATACTAAGACCAATAATACGTTTAGTACGGGTCTCCATACTGTACTAAACCTAACAATACGTTTAGTATGGGTCTCCATACTGTACTGTACTATGGGTTTAGTACGGGTCTCCATACTGTACTAAACCTAACAATACGTTTAGTACGGGTTTCCATACTGTACTAAATCCAGCAGAAGGTTTAGTACAGGTGCACAATACTGTACTAACCCCAGTACAGTATTCAGCTCTCCTATACTGTACTGTACTATGGGTTTAGTAGGGATTATCGGTACTGTACTAAAAATACTGTACTGTACTAAACCGACCCTTGGTTGGTTTCAGTGGCAGAAGCATCGGTTTTTCGCATTTTTTGGCACGTTCGGGATTTTCGCTCACGTTGCCGGTACCCGAAGCTTTCACCGGTAAGAAGCACATGTTTCCCAGCTGGCCTCAGCTTTTGCTCTTGTGGCAGTCATGCACCCCACTCCCATTTTCCCCGCTGCCCTTCCCGCGAAGACGTACGTAGTGCCAACCGTGGCGGACGAGGGCAGCGAGCGCTCTCAGTGCCAATCTGTTCGAAAGAAGCGGACGATGCGGTTGGTAGGACAAACGGGTGCGGAATTTTGTCGATGATATCGGTTACTGGGTTTGAAAGGAGAAAAAATAACCGAGCCGGAAGAGCGCTCCCCCCCTCCCCCTACCCGCTACCGCTGCTTTCTGTTTTCGCCTGTGCTTCTTGTGCTTCCCGTACATCATGCAGGTTCTGACAATCGCATCGGGAGGTATCGACAGCGTGGAGCAGGCGGGGAGGCTAACCGACGAAGGGTACGATGCTGTCGTTCTGGGCAGGAGCTTGGTTTCAGGGGCTTCGGGACCGGAACTGATCCGCGGGATCGTTAACAGGGTCGGGGTGCCCCGTAGCATGCTCGGGTGGGGGGTCAAGGCAGAAGACTTGGACTACGACCGAAGGAAGAGATGAAAGGGGGATGAGAGCGATGGTTGCGGTGTGGACACCCACGGCCGTGTCGTGGAAAAATGGCGTATTTGGCGACATGGCTGTCTTGTGTGTCTGGAAAATGTGATGTTGGTGTTTTTTGCCTTGGTACAATATTGGGATGGGGTTGGCGGTGATGGCAGGGCGGGTGGCGATGTCGGTTGTGTTTTTTCCCGCTGGACATTCAGTTGTGGGTGTGTTTAAGCATGGTGCTGATTTCACGGCGGCTCAACGCGGCGTTGAGATTATGTCTCAAGGAGAATTGATGGTGATGATGTCCAAACGTTCACCTTGTCCCGTGTGAAACCGAGTAGTTATGCGGAGATAGATGCTGACACAACTGTCCCGTGACAAGTCAATCTTGGTGTTGCGGTGGGGCATTTATATTGGTGTTTCCTGCTTGGCGAGACGGGGCCAAAATGTTGTTTTCATCCGTGGGATGTCATGCTGTTTCACGTAGTGGTCGTCTGCCACCTACAGCACACAAGATGTATATATTAACTGGGAGGACTGACTCTGTGAAGAGTGTATATTGTCTCGTCCGTATGTTTCCTTTAACATCTACTTCAGTACAGCATGACTATATGGTACTAAATAGACTATGAATAGGTGACGCTGTTTTCCCACTGCTGTTTAGACGGGTAAGTGCCGCAAGATCGTGGCAGCTCGGCGCTCACCTTATGTATACTATCGACAAAGACGGGGCGACAGATGCGAACGCTCAACAATTTCCGCTGTCGCTCGACCTTCTTCTAAAACTCGATGCAACTCCTTTCTAGACCTGCTGTAGCATCCTTTCCTCCGTTCGCGTTTCATCTCAAATGTCACCCATGCTTGGGAGTGCTGTACTCCGGAGCTCCGGATATGGTATGTGCTACGGCTGTTGTTGCGGCCTCAAACAAGGCGCATTATTCCGGGTGGACATCGAATACATAACACATGCGCCCCGGCCGTCTCCCCCGCCGCCGTGGCCGCCGTGGGGCAAATTCTGCGGCCGGGGGCACCCCTTTCGCCGCCGGTGCCGCTGCAGCACATCCGGTGGAAGCCTATCGCCAAACACCAACATGCTTCAGGCCCTGTCAGCCCATCGGGAAGAAATACTTGAGACCTTCGTTCGTGCGATTCTTTGCGTTTTTCTTTGTATCCTGTCATCGTTCGTGCGATTCTTTGCGTTCTTATTTTATGTATCCTGCCATCGTAGGTTTTCTTCGGATCTACAGCAGTAGTGGTTCTTTCGCCTTGTCATCGTCGACACCATAGTTTCTAGGTCTTCATCGCGGTCTGGACGTCTTCATTCTTCAACTCACTTTGTTCTTGCTGTGTCTCTTGCTCGAGCGTGTTACCGTAGTAGTCTAAGCACTTGCCGCTCCCCGTGAAAAAAACAAGGAAAGCTTCAGGCAGGTAACGCCGACGAAACTCGTCGAGGTAGTTGCCCGCAGACAGAGCTCGAATCGACTGCTGTCAAATTTTGCGCAGACAGAGCTGGAATCGCTCGAGTGGGTTTGATCTACATCACGGCTAAACTATCCACAACTCCATCCAAGTGGGGAGAGAATCATAGGCGAGTCAATGAAGTGACTAGACTAGAGCCTATGAGGCAGCAGTACATGTCATAAATAGGAGCTGCGCCGTCAACGAATTCGAACCGCGCACACAGCGGTCGTGAGGGGAGCGAGGAGAGAGGACATACCGCACTGATCTGCACGCAAGTGTTCGGACAACTGGTACGCAGCAGGTGAGGACACCAGTGCGTACCTGTCCGTACGTGAAACGTTTTCTCCAAGAAATACCGTTCTGCACCATCCAGTAAACGGAGTAAACCGCGTCTATGGGAGACAGCCTCGGCCAACGGGAGAAGTAGAGTAGCCCCCGGGCACCAGGTTGAGAGAAAACAGCAGGGGTGGCGGAACCACAATTAACCTAGCTTCCATCAAAAAGTGGGACACATCTGGCGTGATGCCATGGATCGATCTTTTGCTGCCTGTCCAGACTACAGCAGAGCCTCTCCAGCCACATAGAGCCTCATGCCGACACCTCTCATGTCATTGGTGTAGCGAGTAACCCGACTAGCACGCCGTCCACCCAATGCCGGTTGTCACTACGCACTGGTACTGACACCGTATTTCCAACAGCTAGATATCATCACGAAAAAGTTACTCCACAATGAACGTAAATAAAATGTTCTTATTACATGAAGTATATCCAAAAATTCTTCCGAAAAACGGTTCATGCACAAGAGCAGTGAAACGTCTGTGTTTTCTATCTGACTGATTTACAGTACTTCTGGGCGGTGAACGAGCAGCGCGTTCGTGTGAAGAGAGCACTGCCGTGTTCGTGCGCATCTTTTACATTTGGATGTAGGCTACGGTGTACCGAAACAACAGCAGGCGTACGAAAGCAAATCTTCCTGGACGCAGTCCACCAACGGCAACCGGCCCTGGCCCCTTTTTGGATCTTAGCTCAAGAAAAACGGTCATGTTCCACAACCCGCTGCTGATCCATCAAGGTCCACCACAGACATACACCCTTCCACTCGCTTCCCCCGCCGCCTCTCACTCTATCCTCTCATCCTCTCACCCTGTCATCATTTCTTCACTGCGCACGATTGCTGTGTCTGCGGGATAAATCGGTCAGCATATTCTCGACGGTGGTGCTTGTGGTTACTGGTGAGAGTCGTCGTGCGCGTCCACAGCCTGCGTGCACGTGTGCAGCATACTCACGCAGCGGAAACGCTTCCATAGTTCATCCAGCTTCTCGTTGGACCTCAAAACATTAGGGAGGGTTGCTTTTGCCTGGCGCGAGACCATAAAGGAAGAATGATGCTTACTTATGGTGGGGTGGAGTACTTTGCGTGGTAATGTAGCCTTGAGGTCGCTCGCCACACACACCAACAATCAGCACGTATATTGCCTAGGCCGCAAGGGTTTCTCTGCTGTTTGGCCTAGACTATACAATGACTACAACTGCTATCGGAATGTTCTGCTTATCAAATCTGTTGATCGTAATACGTTTCGTTGGAGGTGCCAGCAGCTGCCGTGCTCGTTGTACGAAACGGCACACACCCAGCCTGTGTAGTAGTCTATATGAACAAAACTGTAGGTGTTTCTTTGAGCACTACAGTAGTCGAAGCTGTGGGTGTGTCTGAGCGTTCGGGCACGAGTGAAATAATGTGCCCCAACGGGCTTCTTACACACGACCTTCACGATTTCGGATCGTTTTTAGAAATGATTTCAGTGCGTCAAAGTCGTGTGACTTATCAAATCGATTTCAAGCCTACACCGGAAAAATGAAAATAGAACCTCGTTGCCTACGATATATCGGAGAGCGCCCAAGAACGATAGAAGCTGGGTCACCGCGCACGGAGACTCTTGTGGGGTTTTGCCAAACATACCTCGTGCACACACAGGCTTTTCCAATGCGCGCCGTCGAGGGCTGCATTCGCGTTGTCTTCGGTTTCAAGGGTAGTGTCCAATGACGAGCAGGAAGGCTTGGCCAGACCATTGAATGCATCTTATTTGGCGACAGCTGTTCTCCTCTGTCCCCCCCCTCCCACCCGACCGTACAGGAGAGCCAAGATGAACAAGTCATACCTGTCGATGTGCGCCGGGCCGCTGCTGCTCGCCTTGGCCGTCAAAGCTACCGTCCACAACGCGCCGGCCCCGACCCCATCCCCGACCTACTCAAGACCGGTCTCCAGGTACTCGGACCCTACCCCAACATACCGGTCTGAATCCTCGGACTCCTCGGACGCCGACGCCGGTCCCAATGACGATTACACCTCGCCGGTCACGACCCCGTCCCCGACCACCGAGATCTACCCCGACTTGAGCGAATCCTACGAGGCGGAGGTGACCCCGGAGCCGGTCATGGACACCCCGGCGCCCACACCCGACATGGAGACCACGTCAGGTCCCACGGAGTACTACGTCGAGACGACGGAGGATGGAGACATGGAGAAGATGCCGATGTCGGACGGTGGGTCAGAGGAAGAGGAAGAGGAGGAAGAGGAACCGCTGCCGATGGAAAACCCGCAGGACGGGATGTCCTGCTCCACATACGACGAGGATGTGAGTACCTGTAGACACGGGGCATTGGCTTTCACACCTGAAGTAAGATGACTCTTGTAAGTAGTATTTATTCCTGATGACCCAACATCGACTCGTTCCGGCTGGCTTTCCTCACGCTGCGGGCTCCCTCTCACGCGCTATGGGTATTGTAGACATCAACACGCCAACCTTTTCGCTTTTCAAAAGAATGGCCAAGGCCAAGTATTCGACAGCCTCAACCAACGATTCGAACTTTTCATTATTTTCCAAAACCGTCAGGTGGATGTGGCCACTATCCTCCCCGAGACGTGCGAATGGAACACCTACATGTGCTGCTGGACCGGCCACGACGGGTCCAAGGGCATGTACGGCAACGCCGATGTCTGCCGCGTGCTGAACTACCCTGAGGAGGGCGACGTCCTCGAACTTCCCCGTGACGATGAAGGCCCTGTTTACTGGTGCGTTGGTACCTGAGTGCTTGGCAATGCCTGTGGCATACAGAAATATTCTTTCAAGGCTAAGCCACATCGAAGTGTTGACTTCTACTTTATATTTTGTCTTGGCTGTTAAATGAAATGCGGAATCCTTGATTCGGCGCTGTAATATATGTGTTCTGCTCTGCGCTGTGTTCCGGTGCTGCAACCCTGGGCGTGTGCTTGCAGCAGTGGCATTGCGTAGCCCCCCTTGAATTTCACAGTCGTTTCCGAGCAAGGGGGGGTAGGTATTACGTGTTACTAGGTGACGGCAGACATATAATCACTGCATGGCAACGGCGCCACCTCGCTCTCTTCCCCGACGTTGATCCCGCCCCGCCCCCGTCCTCCCGTTGCGCATCGAATGGCATGTGCGCATGTACTTATATCCGACAAAACACAGCCACGGCTTCGCCTGGGCAGACGGCGCGGACATCGACAGCCACATCCTCCCCCTGTACCACTACGTCACGAACGTGAACCGCACCGACGACGGGGGGTACTACGGAAAGTGAGCTCATAGCACGATCACGGGTTTTAGCGTTCGTCTCGCAGCGAAATGGCCGCCAAACGAAACAGCGCATCATTTGGTACATACAGTAGAAGAATTAGCGGAGAAACCTGTGGCCTGCTGACCGGGAAGACGATTGCTGTGCACTGTGTGCCAGCAGTGAGAACCTTGAGCTCGGCGGGTTATTCGCCAGCGCTTGTTGACTGCAGAAGGCGAATACGTTGTAGTGCTCGGCGCCCTTGTTTCACGGTTGCCTAACTTCTATATTTCTCTGATCCAGTTCAGTGCGGCGAAGTCTTGCAACGTCCACTTTCGCGTCTACTCGAGAATACCCGTCCCGTCCCAGCGACCAACAACCCTCTTCATCCCCCACCTGTGCTGGCACTTGCAGCGTCGAGGGAGTGCCTTCGTGTGGATGTATCGAGGACATGCCGGTCGTGTCCGATGCGGCGTGCTCCAAGTGAGTTTGTTGTATCACTATATATAAAAGTTTTATTCGACGACTCCTGGATAGAACGTCGTACGACCCAATCTCCCCCACTTTTGACAGTTTTGTTAAACCGCCCATGGGACACCCATGGGTTATCCATGAGCCGCACGTGGGAACTTCAAGCTAGAACTTAGCCACCAGCCCCCACCCTGTTCGTTCCGTGTCGGCTTGGGGTTAGGGTAACGGTTAGCGCTAGGGGTAATAGCCGCTATCGTGCCCGTTCCAAAGCAGATAAACTATTGTAAAGGAGTACACTGGTTCGGTTGAAGGGCTCTCATTGGCCGCCGATGGGCCGCCCATGAGCTGCCCACGGGCTACCCATGGGCACGCTCATGATGGGCTGCCCATGGGCCTAAACGGGGCGCCCATGGGTGGCCCATGAAAGTCTCATGGGTCGTTTGGGAAAACTGTAGATAGTGTGGGAGGCCCGAACGACCCTGCACGTCGAGCATAAACGCCACCATGGTGCACGTGTAGTGTGCTTCGAGTTTGGAGACGCTTCTTGTTGGTCTTGATTTTGTCGACGAACGCGTGCTCGTGAAACAACCCAGAGGAAGGACCGTGCTTGCGCATGGGCCGCTGTTGTTTATTGTTGTGCCCTTCATGCAGGGGCAGCCGTTTTGAAATTTGATAAATCACAGGAGATAGTTGTCATCAGTTTCGTTTTTCTCTCTAGCAGATTGAGCAAAACCTTGTTATATCACACTGTCATGCAAACGGATGGTCAAATTCCCACCCCCGCTACAGGCTCCAATCCATATCCGACCCCGCCCGAAATTCAGGTTCGGAGGCGAAGGGATCGAGCCTTGCTGGGACAACAGTCTTCGTTCCCAGTACAAGTACAAGCTGGACGAGCCGAAGGGCGAGATGGAATACAACCTGGTCAGAGAGTGCGACAACGAGGACGTGCCCGACTACGACTTCCGCACCTGCAACCATAACACGTACATGTGCTGCTGGACGGAGAACGACGGTCAGGGGATGGCTGACAACACGGTGAGATGTCGAGACTGGTCCTTGTTTCTTCTATCGTCGCAAGCTCGTGTGCTCGCCAACGCACGAATACGGTTGCTGTCGTCGAGGCTCTAATCACGAAGTACCTGTCATGGCCACCAAAAACTACTACTTCGAAGTAATCACGTGTTGAACATCGCCTGCGTCAAGTCACCGTTAACAACCCCGACCTTCTGTGATGTATGGTTGAACCCAACGATGTAGGATGTGTGCCGAGTGATCGACTACCCGTCGATGGGCGAGACCACCGAGTATCCCGGAGGGAGCGAGGGAGAGGTGCACTGCCNGGGGGGGGGGGGGGGGGGGGGGGGGGGGGGGGGGGGGGGGGGGGGTACAGCGCAATCTATTGTGCCCCACGGTATATTTCGCAACGTTTTTTTTTTTCTTGCATGGCGCTCAATTGTTCCCTTTCCCTGACTCGCATTAACACCCCTGTCCTTCCTCCCGTCGTTGATTGCCGCTGCCGTTCAGCATCGAGGGTGCCCCCATGTGCGGCTGCATCGAGGAAATGCCACAGGTTTCCGAGGCCGACTGCACGACGTACGACAACGAGCCGGGCCGAGAGGGCAAGTTCACGGCGTGCACCAAAAACGACCTTCGCACCCGTTACGAAGAAGAGTACCCTATGGGCGAGCTCAGCAACCTCGTCGGCGAGTGCGACAACGCGGAGGCTTGATTTTGACACCGGCATGGTCTTGGCCTGCTGTATATTTGCTTTTACGATGGCGTAGACAGAGTTTCTCTATATTGCTGTCGTACGGCAACTCGATGACGGGGGACTCCCAATTGCGGGAACCTCGCGGTAGACGTTATATTTTTTACATCAGTCTCTTCCTCGGGTTGTAGATTCATTCGTTACACCGTGTGCGCGTATAGTACGCTATGTATCATATCTTTTTCGACGCCAAGTGTTTTACGTGTACAGGCACGCTCGACAGTTCGCAAGTTTAGTTGATTCACATTCGGCATTGGTTGAATTGTGTTGCGAATTGGACTGCCGGGATGGGGACGGGGACCAGATTTTGAGATGCCAAGCTCTCTTCCTTGATTGCCCTCACGAGATGGGTGTTAGAAGCTGGAAGCGACACAATCCCGTTTTACCACTTGCTACAGCAGTAATAGGTTTACTTTGTATTTCGCTGCCTTCTTTCAATTATTTATATACATTGTGTAGAATATGGAGCAACTGCTGGTTGCGAGATATTCTTTGTGAATTTGCACTCTCGGGCCCGCTGTGGTCGATGTACGTTGGAATGGGACCCTTTTTCCAGTTGATTGAGAGCTAGTACAGATATGGTGTATCCGTCTGTTGTTCCTGAGCTGATGGGCTGCTACCGTGGTTATTGCTATGTTTCGGTAGGATGTGTTACTGCAAACAGTGGATGATGTGTGGTGGCAGACTTTTCAGCAGTTTTTCTGGCTACAAATTCATGTTGAATCGCCCATGAACGTGTGACTTACAGAGACTCGGCAGCGCCGGCTGCTACATTGTATGCTAATAAAACCCTGGACATTATACAATTCAATGCATACCGATACGTTCCTATCGATACAACAAGTTGTTGTGAACTTCCCTCCCGATATACATATCAATGTATTGTATCTGGTATACATGTATCTGTTTGTGGGTATGACCCGGTACGTACCCACTGTCGCTCCCCCAAAGTGTACTGATTTTCGTATAGGCACATTATTACATAGGACTATGGGATGCATAATATATTGCATTTAGAGTAGTGGTGGCCAGGCGCGGGGCTGTACCATTTCCCCCATTGATTGCCCTGACCATTCGTCTTGTCGATTAATAAACGTGTAGAGCACGAGGAATGGTGGCCAATGTAGTGTGGGCCGAGGGTGTGGCCCTTTTACACCCTGGACAATACTTGGGCTAATCGTATATGGTTCCGGGTGCATCGATTTGCACTGTGAGCAATGATAGTTTGAAACAAAAGACGCAACACCTTTTGCTCCCGCGATAGGACAAACTACAAGTCTTCGATGTGTATCGCTTCGACCAGCACAATTTCAGTTGTTCGTCGATGGATATTGCAAGGCACGATGTGTTTTTACCGAATTCGATTGATACATCTTGGAGCAACAATACGTTGATGATACGTCGATGATCGCAGGGATCAATGAATATCTAACTATCGTTCAAACACAGTCAGAAGTACATTTTTTTCTGGCCTCCCATCATTGGACTTTGTCGTCTGCCCCTCTGGCCCCTATCCTCCACTTCTACCAGCTATACGACACAACCGGGGTCACATAGAAGGGAGTGGTTGGACCCCTTTCTGCGGTTCCTGCCTGAGATATTTTCATCATCGGTAGTGTTATACACGACACCGGTGTCGTACTTCCTTATATACGGCACCTACCATTTCTTGGCCCACAGGGATCCAATCGGCGTACAACAAAATGCGCTGTGTAGCCACGGCCC